AACGATGATGAAGGAAATTCGAGAAAGGATGAAAGAAATCGCACCAATTATACACTCCTTTTGCATTTTCAGCAGTTATGCGATGACTTTTTATTGAGAATTCTTTAAAAAGTTCAAGCGTGCATTTATACTTTCATGTGATACCTTCAAATTAAATTACCGTAATAAATACTTTCATAATTTTAAACAAATAAATGAATATTGTTTATTTATTTATATTTGCAATATATCTTTTCTTTAATTCTTGCAAAAATTTATATTTCATCAATCACTTTTGCTTTTCTCTAAGAGATTTTCTATGAAACCCCTCCTCACAAGATTTTCGGTAGTTTTCCCTTTTAGGAACCCCAAAACCCAAACATTATAATTCATTTTCGTTAGACTTTTTGCTTTCACTTTTCTCTTTAAAGAATTATTGCATTTATTGCATTACATATATTTATTTGTATTTGTTTTATTAAGACTATCAAAATTCCATCACTAACTACGATTTTTTAAATAATATTAATCTTTTTTCACTTCTTATAACCTACTTTCGTAGCCCTATTCATTTCATTTGCATGGCTATTCTTTCTATAACCATTTGAGAATATATGGTGGCTCTGTACAAAAACGATTCTGACCTTCATTTCTTGAAAATCATCTGAAGTTTGTACCTTTATTATTTACAAGAATTTTGCAATTTGTTCGCAATATTCATATACCATTTATATTCACGAGTTAAGCAATATGTCGCACATGTTCGTGGGTATAATTGCCGAGCTAACTTCCCATATTCAGGTTTCAGCAACTATATAATGCATGTCGCTGCAAGATTGTAATTTTTTTAAACCTCGGAAAATTCGGCAAAAATTTCGATAAATTATTAAATAATTTTAAGTTTCAATCAAATTTTTCTTGCCTTTGATAACCAAAGTCAACAACCGTCTTTCCGCCAAATTACCAATCCAATGCGATATCATTTATTCAATCATTAATCATTCCGCTAAAACTAAACTAAAAAGATTACTGAAGATTGTCGAAGTGGCTTTAAATTTAGCGTGAATCTGAACCTAAATGATTTTTTATCAGCAATATATCATTGCAGAGCCACAAAATTTGCTTACGAAAAATATAAAAAATTCATTTCTTTTAACTTTCGTTTAAGTCGTTTAAGTTTGAAAGTTTTCTTTTTGATGCTTTAATTTATGGTTTAATAAAATTTTCTCGATTTGCTTAATAATCTATTAGAAATAATAATTAAATGTATTTCAATTTATATTTTCTAAAAAATAATCAGTGAATCAGAATTTCAATGCAGTCGAAATGGAATTAAAATAGATTTTATGCAATTTTCAGTCAGAGAAAACTACTGAAGGAATTTTTCAGAGTTTTACTTCCCCGGGGAAATATTTTTCAGCTTATTGAAATCGTTTTCGAATTTTATGCAAAATTTAAAATTTTAGCGCTTTTTTGAAAAATTGTTAGTATTCAGGCATCGATTTTTTAAAATTTATCATCAGAAATTGAAAAACTTATTTATTACCAGAAAAAAGTTTTTTTTGCGATTCATACAAAATTTTTTAGAACATTTAAAAATAAAAACGAATTTAGTTGAACGGAAGCGAAATTTTCTCATTACTAGAGTTTGCGAGTATCGCTCCATTATTGGGCATGAACTTGAATATCTCGGTGGAGGCCATATCACGATCTTGGCAATTCTCAACAGGTACTGAAGGCCTTTTTTGAAACCTTGTGCGACGTGAATAGACTTTACGCAAACGTTTATATCGACATCACCTCCATTAGGAAAATTGCATAGAGATGAGTAAATAAGCGAACATAGCAGCAGGTCAAATAATTTCCGATTCAAAATTTTTGCTTTTTATCCTTCAATTTTGATTTGTTTTTCGTAAAAAAGCAATCAACAAAATATATTCGTATTATCATTACTCCTCTTGAAATCTCAGCTGCTCAAACATTATTTTTGACTATTTTTTGACATCTATTCAGTTTATATCAAGTGATATTCATTAACAGTGATAAGAATTATCGATTTCTCCAACTTCTTCAAGTGATGAAGAATATGAAAATATTGATTTTATAATCAAATTAAAAATAACTGCTTTAGAAATATTATTATATTTTGTAATTCATTAAGAAAACAGCTCATATTTTGCTTAATCGCTAATGAATTTTGCGAAATTGCTGAAAAATTAACTTCGAAAAATAAAATCAGTTGTTTCGTTCTAATAAAAAATTTGACGTGAAATCCCAAAAGAGAATTATTGTTTCAATTAGATAAATTTGTATTAGCGTAACATTTTAATTCTCGAATAACCGTATGTAATAAGAATAAGAGGGGCACAGAGCATTTCCTATTCCATCAACAAACGTAGATTTCATCGCGTTGTACGGCCATAACCTTTCCAAATAATGAAGATGGGAAAATCAAAAAAAGAGTTTCTCGCGATTACCGATTTTGCGATTAATATTAATCGAAATATTAATATTATATTAATCGAAATATTGCAACAATAGTACCACAATAGCTAACATTCTTTGCCTACCTATCTAAGTAAAATATTTATCAAACAAATTGGTTGTTAAAAAATTAAAATGTTGCGTTAAAACGTACCTTTGTGAATTTCAATTAAATGAACAATTCACAATGATAAATTAACAATAAAAATTTAAGAGAATGATTACCGATTTTGCGATTAATATTAATCGAAATATTGCAACAATAGTACCACAATAGCTAACATTCTTTGCCTACCTATCTAAGTAAAAGTAAAAATATTTATCAAACAAATTGGTTGTTAAAAAATTAAAATGTTGCGTTAAAACGTACCTTTGTGAATTTCAATAAAATGAACAATTCACAATGATAAATTAACAGTAAAAATTTAAGAGAATAATTCATCCAAATTGAAAAGGAATCTGATTCTGATCGGAACCTTCATTGTATTACAAGCTAAGGAACTGATTTCACTTTTAATTGTACCCTTCTACAAATAATTTAAAGCGCAATGATTCGTTGTCGTTAAAATTTCATATAAAATTTACATTTTGGAGCTTAAAGCTGGAAAGTTCGATTGAATAATATTGTTACCAATATTAATGCTCGATCAATCGATCAGAACTGAAAAATTTACACCAAAAATTTTGCAAAAACCATATTTGAACAACTGAAAGAAAAGGAGTGATAATGTTTATCACTTCTTTCGCTTATTGAATTATGAAAAACAGATTAAAATTGACTATAAAAAGCAAAATTTCTCGATCGGAATTATTTGACCATGCTGGCTTATTTATTTGTTCTTACATCTCTATGTAATTTTGCTAATGGAGATGAAAAGGAAATAAATGTTTGCGTAAAGTTTGTTCCCGGTGCACAAAATGCTCTTAAACGAAGACCTACAGTACCTGTTGAAAATTGCCAGGATCGTGACGCGGCTTGCTCCCAAATATTCAATATTGCTAACAATGATGTATATGCGGAAAATCTTATGCCGTAATTTTCTCAGCTCTTCGATTTTATTTTCACTACAGTATGATTAAGTAATAATCATGAATCCATATATGTTGTTTTAAATCATTATGAATAGGAAAATTGGTGGGAAGATAGTTTGTTGAATTTTGTTGGTTATCGAAGGCAAGAAAAATTGATTGGAACTTAAAATTATTTGATAATTTATCGAAATTTTTGCCGAATTTTTCCTAAAAAATTCCCAATGTCTTGCAGCAACATGGATTATAAAGTTGCTGAAAATTGCCAGAAACCTGAATATGGAATGTTAGCTCGGCAAATATGCCCACGAACATGTGCGACATGTTGCTTAACTCGGGAATATAACTGCCAAAATGGTAAGAAACAAGCAGTTCTTAGAATTCAAATCTAATAAAACAGTAAGACGCATGCCTGACGCGCATTATTTACTGCTTTTCGCAACTACATGCTTTTGTAAACCATTTTGTTCAAAATTCACAGAAAAGGCAAAAAATTTTGAAAGGTTGGCAAGTATTTAAAAAAAAAGATGCCAAGCATCTTCGTCAGATAGAATTCGTATTATCCTTAAAAATTAAAATATATTACCGTGAAAAAACTGAAATGTTAATGGCGTAGAAAAGTGAAAAAGGAAAAAAGAATTTGTGCGAAAATTTCCCCAAATTAATCTGAAGATTAATACATGGCCGGAAATTAAAATTTACCAATTTCAGTTGGAGGTGAGGACGGTCCATGTAGAAATTTTTCAAGGTTAATGTGTGGTCAATTCCCAAATATTGCGTTACAGTTTTGTCCACAAATTTGCGGCCTTTGTCACTTACCTGGTGCCGCAAACATGTGTCCTGACACTATCGATGGTTGCGATATTTTGGTGGGATTGGGCATTTGTACTGACAATCGATACAAGAATTTATGCCAGAGATCGTGCTTCTCGCGAGATTGCCTTACAAACCAAACAAGTGAGTTGCTGATTGCTATTGAAGATTAATAGAATACATATAAACCTATAAAAATCATATAAAAACGGTTAATAAGCAGTTTTATTTATAGCTCTATCGCGGGGAAACTGTCGCGACGACCATATTGACTGTCCAAAGTACCGCAATCTTTGCAATGTTGGCGATTATGCAGTTGTTATGCGCGTTAAATGCCGGTTGACTTGTGGTTTGTGCTGATAAACCGGAAGAAATACTTTTTTCATGTCGTTTGAATGAATGTTTTCTGTTGAAAATTGAAGGACATATAGGAATTCTCGAAATGCAAATTTTTCTAGCCGATTTATACAAATAAATGAATGAATCCAATTCAGCAAATCTTTTTTACATTTGTAAATAACACATTATTTCCATTCCATATCACTGTATTATATTTCGAAATGAAATGAGACGTAAGTGCCGAGAAAAAGAGCAAACAAATTGTATAATTCGCGTAAATAATAAAGATACAAATTAC